TGCTGGTGGTGGTGATGGTGATGGTGGTGGTGGCCACAGCCACACGAGCCCCGCGGTCAGCGATTGCTATCTAACAGCTGAGTATTGAGCTGGGATTCAATGACCACTTAAGCGTCTGAGCGCAAAAGGGAAGGATATGAGTAGCAATTGGCAACATTTTGCTTTGAGAATTGAAATGCGTTAGGAGCAACAACTTTGAACTTTGTCGAAGACGTAAGCTGCAATTGCTAGTTAATACTACGAGTTGACTACGGAAGCTTTTTTTAATATTTATCATTTGAAAGTTTTTTTTTGTTTTTAATATTTAAGTGTTTTGTTGTTTTAGTTTCAGAGTTGTTTTTTTTACATTTTTTCCTGGCGACCCTCTTACTAAGATTTTAGTGCAGCTCCATTAAAAATGCATCCCCTAGCTATGTAAGGATATAAATAAAATTTTTTTTATTTTTTTTTTGTTGATATTTTGGTTTTATTTTATTTTTTACCTCTCTGCAAGTTGACGAGCACGTAACTCGTAAATACACCTGCCACGCGCCGTTGCGCCAGCAGCGTGCCAACAATAACTATATACGTATGTATGTATGTATGTAAATGGGTACGCGCACTGTTGCTTGGCCGCTGGCTTGCACGAGCACCAACAACCAACAACCAACGACCAACAACCAAACAATCAACACTACTCTTATTTTATTTAGTACATGCAAGCGCGTTTGTGTTCGCTTACTTACAAGTTTGTATGAAGGTAACTTAAGGGTCCGCAGTTAATTAAAATATTAACAAAAATCTACCACCAAAATAAAATTCTGTGCACTGCAACTACGTGTGTACCTACATACTTACATCGACAGTGCCCAGGACCTGTTCTGATTAATCAAAATGCAGCGTGCCTTTGGAAAATTACTAATTTTTCATTTGTTTTCGCTTTATTTTATTTATCCGACTTTTAAAAATTGTAGGTCAGCGTAGCAATGCGCACTCGTTTACAAATTTTGTCATTCCGAATTTTAATTTTAAACTTATTTATGCGCTAACCTACCCTTTTAAAATAAATATGTATGTATGTATACCAGACTTTTACCCTAGCACATTGAAATTAATTTGTACTTGCCCTGTTGCGTGCATGCAGCTTAACTAGTTGCAGTGGTGCTAGGGTGAACCTTTAATTTTCGATAATTACTATAGCAATTTGATTTGAATATTTTGTCCTGCATAATTGGTTTTCCGGGCGCTATGCTGACACACGCTTGCCATTGAATCGTGGAAAGGATAAGCGTAAGGTTTGGTTGCACGTGTGACACACACGCCCGGAACTATGCTTCATGCTTGCTAGCATACATAATTACTTGTCACAGGTCCTTTTAGTAAATGAATTTTGAAATATTGAAAGTAGGTATAGAACCTAGCTGCATTGAGAATAGTTATTCATTGCGAAGTATGTATGTATGAATGTGGGAAGGAAACAGTGCCATGATACTAACTATTAGGCAAAGTCCCTTTGCATGTGTCTCTCTCTACTTCTAGATATCAGAAAGTACTAAGGACTAAGTATGACTATTTTATTACAATGCATAACTTTTTAATCTTATCCTCCGTAGTCGATTAAAAGTGCATACTATTACTCATAAGGACCCAGAATCTTCCTATAAACAAACGTTTGAATAGTACAAAAACTTACACGTATACAAAAATGTATGAAGTATACAGTAAAATTCTCACAATGCTCTGTTAAGAAATTCATAGAAACTGTACCACACACCACCACGTTAAGCTACCTGTAAAATATGGAGTATTTACCCAGTCTGTTCTGGTAGGGTGGTAATCCATATAGACCTTTTTTATTTTAAGTAAAACACTTAACACCGAACTCGATGACGGAATTTTTATAATTACACGAAAGAGCAATCTATGGCATTTACTTTTTAAAAATAATTTCATTCAAATGTTGGTCGCAGACAGAACATAACCGTGAATGGTGAGCGCTACCGCGGCATCAGAATGGACTTTTTGTTGCCTGAAATCGAAGCCTAATTGAAAAGCATAATTGAAAATAGGAACTTCCATATTGAGCCCCTAAAGGGTAGTCGCGGTTAATATTTGAATTAAATTATTTTTGAAAACTAAATACCAGTGATTGTTCCTTGGGGTTATAATAAAGATTCCGACATTCAGTTCTGTTTTTAGTATTTTATTTACAATTCAAGAAAACGTCTGGATGGATGTCCTTATACAAATTGGACCAAGTGAGTGAATCTTCTTCTATCCAAAATTGTGAAAAAGATATTAGTGTTGTTACCCTCAACACCAAAGCCCTGAGCCAGCTTCTAATAACAGTTAGTAGCAAAAGAGGGAAATATGGGAACACACACACAACACCTATCAATAATATCTATCTGTCTAGAGCGGAAGTAAAGAACAAATCTTACCAATACTAACGCTATATTGCGATCGGTAGACTATAGAAAAGCCGAGCCCTCTCTCAACGAACAAATATCAGGTCATCGCAAAATTTTATCATGTCCGTGCTTTTTAGTTGGCGCTATATGGTACTTCAGGTGTTTGGGACTGGAACCTAAGCTACACTAGAAGCTAAACGTTGAGACAACTATCACATGATCAATCCTTACCTACGCACCCTACCATAGTGGTCAGCCTTAAGCAAGCAATGCATACAATATCAGAAGATTAATGCTGGTATGCATTAAGTCAGTCTCATATCAAGTCACTAAATTTCAGACTATGAAGTAGTGACTATCTTTTGAACTTGAAACAATTTGGGTATTCAGTAAGAGAAAGTCACCAAAAGTTCAGCAAAAATGTGTGCTGAAAACAAGAAGAGACAGTCAAATGATAGAATATTTGTATGCCATTTTGTTCGCAGTTCTCCAACAGTCACAATGGCCGAGTGAGCAAAGCATTAGCGTGCCGTTCGAGAGTTTCGAATTCTCGGGCAGCGAAATTATTATTTTTTCTCTTTTTTAAATTAATTTATTTTTCTTTTCTCTAAATTATTATTTTCCTTAAGCTCAATAAAAATTGTTGAGTATAATTGTTATAAGGCCATAAATAACAAAAATAAATAAATTATTATTTTTTATTTTTTTAGGTATTTAGGTTTATTTTCTAATGAAGTTGTCGTTAAACAAATATTTTTTCGTTTCATTTTCGCGATTTTTAGAGCAAAATAGAAAGCGATTATCTTTTATTCTATATTTTTATTTTTTTAAAACTGTCCTGAGTCAGCTAACAAACTAGTCACCCTTTTTTCGAATAGAGACGTGAGACAGCTTACTGAATAGCAAATAATCTCAAAATAGAGGTTCACCTCAAAACGTAAATAAATTCGCACACTACTGGTACCAAGTCCAGATTTTGGCTAAAATGTGCAGATGCGGTTCACATTCAAAAGAGAATGAGGGATATTTTTTTGGAAAATTTTTGGGTGTGCAGTTTTTATTCCATTAAATTCTATTGGGTTAAGCAAATTTCTAGACGCTAGAAAATCCCATTGATTTTTAGTATTTCTTTTTTTGCTAGAAATTTTGAGCATTGTCGAGAATACTTTATAGTATGGAAGAAAATGCACAACACCGTCAGTCAAACAAAAATATTAAAAATTAACGCGAGTTTCTAGCGTCTTGAAATTTGCGCTTTAACCTACTAAACTTCGATGGGCTATAAAACTGCATACCTAAAATTTTTCAAAAGTATTCTGAATAAAAAGTTAGAAATTTTTGGGGGATTTTGGTGAAATTTGTTGAATTTTTATAATTTTTGTACAATGTTTGAAATGTTGATTTATATGGTGTGTTATATAATGCGCTAAACTTTTATAAAAAAATATCAATCATTAAATTAAATAAACAAAAGAATTAAAGCCAAAACTGGTCAAAATAATAAGTTTCTATTATTTCTTTTACCACTCAGTATATGTGTACGCTCAGTTATCAAGGTTGAACGGTGAAAAGAGAAATAAAAAATATTTTTCGCATAAGACTGTAATTGTGTTTTGCATGCCATAAAAGTCATAGTTGAGTCAAATACTTGCGCTAAGGTTTAAATGTATGTCCTATAAAGGACCATACAAAATTTACGTACATTTCAGAATATACGAGGTAAGCGAATACTAAGGAGCCCAACCATATGCCCATCCACGTTGAACACCCAATAAGCACTGAATTTGCAAAATCACATTAGTAGCTCAGAATCAGAGTAAAATCCTCAAAGCCAGCGCTATCGCTTGAGAGAGTAGTAAAGATTATAAAAGAGCAACTACCCAACGAAGAGTGGCTTTAAAAGGTGTGCTCCATGTGCAACTGCAATTAAAAACCAGATTGGGAACAGTTTTCTTTTTGTTTTCATAAGCGATGTATGCGATATGAAAAAACGAGTTCACGGTCAGCCTCAAACCGCACGCACTCACTCATACACACGCGCGTGAATAGAACAAGGCCACTGCCAAAGCCATATCAACTTTACCTGGGCGACTGATAAGCTACGCGCTGTATGCATGTGTGAGTGGGTGTAAGAGTGGCTGGCCGAGCGCTCATGAAGTGATCTTCACACGACGAGGGATCGGCGAAGGTGAACGCGAGAGACACAGAGAGCATTGCACGCAATTTTTATCACTTAAATGGGGAAAAAAGAGCATGGTTCGAAAGAAAAATTGTTGAAAAATTCGTACAGATAGCTCTGACAGAGTGTTTGCTAGTACAGTTAATGTAAGGCTGCGCGCTATGGAGCTCCCTGTCGTCGTTGCGCTGGGATATGCGCGTTGTTATGGTTTCATTTTTACCTGTTTATCCCACTGATCAAAGTGCGCTAAATGCTTGCATTTATGCTCAATATACGCGCCATGTTTCTCTCAGCACTCTCTGCGCTCACGCTCAGCTAGTGGCTTGTTGAAGTTTTATACCTTAGCGACACGGCGCAGGAGTTGCTGTTGAACGCAGTACAAAATGCAAAGGTTTAGGACGAAGGGATTCATTCTTGTGCAAGGTGTCGTAGGATCAAGTTCAATTGAATTTTAGAAATCGCAATATATTGCAAAAGTAGTTAAAACTTAAATTAGAGCTAAAAATTTTGTCTCTGATATATTCGCGCAACAAAGAAAGTAAAACAAAAAAATACTCATACTGCATTTCGCTTGGCAAGCAGTTGAGAAGACAGTTTCTGATGGTGAACATGTCTAGCGCGGTGTTTACAAGCAATCCAAAAAATAGTACACCGCTGCAATACTACAGCAAAGATAACAATAGCAGCAACACAGAGCCGTCTCATCGTCAACTCAGCGCCGCAGTGAAAATGTTCAAATATCAAAATATCGCGCCAGCGCCCACGCCAATGCCTGCGGGGTGCGCAGGCGCTGAGATTAAGACGCGCAAATATACGCCGCGCGCGCCCAGCGCCGGCGGTGGACCCTTTAGCGTCGATCAAACACAATCGGTGCAGCGGCGCAATGCACGCGAGCGTAATCGCGTTAAGCAGGTGAACAATAGCTTTGCGCGCCTGCGTCAACACATCCCACAAACAATCATCACCGATCTGCTGAAGGGCGGCGGTCGTGGGCCGCATAAGAAGATAAGCAAAGTGGATACGCTACGCATTGCGGTGGAGTACATTCGCCGTCTGCAAGATTTGGTGGATGACTTGAATGCGGGTAGCGGCGCCACACAAAAGGTGAACAGCTCACGCGCCAGCGGCAGTGGACTATTGGCAATCGCTACAGACAACAACACAACCACGAGTAATAGTTCATTCTCTAGCAACAGCACTAGCAGCACCAGCAGCATTCTCAGCTTACTTGCGGCTGATTCGCCTGCGCGCAATTCAACAAATGGCAGCGGACTTGCTGCGGCTGAACAGTTGTACTATGCCAGTGCTGCTAATAGCGCTTTGCAATCTTTCCAACAGCAGCAACAGCAGCAGCAGCAGCAGCAGCAGCAGCAGCAACCTCAGCAACAGTTTACCTCCGCGCTACTCACCGCCGAAGCTTTGCAAGCATATTCACCGCAGACAACACAAACGAGGACGCAACTAGATGCTGGTTGTCCGTCGCCTACCTCGTCCTTCAACTCAAGCATGTCCTTTGATTCGGGCACCTTTGTGCACTCGCCTGCGCCACAGCAACAGCTATCGCCGCTGCAACAAGCGGGAGTGGATGCGCAGCGCGGCAGCGGTAATAACAATGCGAGCGCGCAGATTGATGCAAATTTGCAATTGAAATTCGAGCCATATG